CTGTGGAGTGTTGATATAACCTTGAGAACCAGAAAAGGAAACCAAAAAAGGATTTCATCTATTCCCCAAAAAGAGAAACAGAAAGATTGATTGGTTTTACAATGAAACAGTCAGTCCCAAAAAAGGATGAAAAAAGCTGCAAGACTATGTTCAACCAGCTGTATTGCTTTCAACATACTCGACACAACCAATTGGTAACGAGTCTCTGATATGGATGACAACACTCTCTCAAACTATAGGAGAGAATGGGCAAGCAATGTCATCAAGGTTTTGGGTAAACATGAGAAAAGACTATCGTTTAACTTGATGATGGGTAAGAACCAACAAGGTAGGGAATTCTACAGAAATAGCAATCTAATGAGAAACCAATGCCAAGTCTTGTTGTCTCATCCAAAAAGCAACCAACAAAGATTGACAAATTTGCAGAGAGTTGGTATTTAAAGACGTTATTGAAGCTTCTATTGTATTTGATCGTAAAGGCTTTTTCATGAAATAGTTGCAAAGAAGAAAAGGCTTCATAAAGCGAATTCACTCTTTTTCGTTGCAAGTGATTTCTTGGATCTGGTACTTGAGAATAGCCAACCAACATCATGAATTGATATTTGAGTTTAGAAAAGGAGATATCAAGGAGTTTACGAATATGTAAAGGTGAATTCGTGGAGACTTGTTAAAAGTCTCACAAATGTAGGGGTACAATACGCTTATTGTATGGATGATTTGAGGGAATAGTAGGGGAATATTGTCCCGATGTAAGGGCAGTGTTTGGAGAGTGAAACATACTTTTATAGGAATCACTTGAAGACAATCTAGTAAAACCAAACCTATCTCCAAGGCTGTAGTTGCTGCACTTTTTTGTACAGACTTTAACAAGCCCTTGTCGTTGACGACTAGAACACAGTTCTTGGCTATGGATAAGACTGTACTCCAATCCTTCAAGTATGGTTATGCTTCAATAGGTAAGCAAAAAGCTTTTCAAGGGTTCTTTTCTTGTGTTTCGTGGGTGCCTTTGTCTCAAGGTTTCTTAAAGACTTGTTCGAAAAGGAAAAATTTTCTTCTACTTGTAGCTTTGTTCAATGTCTTGGTAAACCAAACGATGATATCATTCAACTGGCTACTCAACTCAATATCACTTGTGTGTTTTTCCAAACTCGTTACTCTCAAGGGTACTTGTCCATTTTTAAAGAGTCATTTCAAACAATATTGAGGTGGAACCTAAACATGTTACAGACTGTGATTTTGCTGAATTGAAACGTATTTTTTTGTTACGGTTCTTCAAAACAAGTTTTTTTGAAAAAAAGGAAAAAAATAACCATTTTTGTGATTCTTCTCTTCTTTTGCATAGAATGTGTCTTTAAAGCATTGGCTCTTAATGTTTCGTTATCAGTGTGGAAATCAAAGTTAACTTTCTTAGAATGATCTTTTACTGTTTCAAATGGCTTTATTGATTTTTACACACACTGTCCTCAATTTCAAATGCCCCATTTCCAATTTACCCATTCTTCCCCGCATCCATAATGACAATTTCCAAATCAACACAATCGCCTTTGGGTTGGCCCCTCTTCAATTTCCTCCCACCCTTTTCCCCACCCATTTTCCCCATCGCAATTTCCCCACTCTCTCCCATTTTCAAATGGGCCCATTCTTCCCCCACCCACAATGGCAATTTCAAATCACGATCATACCCATTCTTTCCCATCCCACCCATAATGGCAATTTTCAAATCAAAATTGCGCGGGCCCATTCCAAATCGGCCACTCTTTCCAAATTGCCCATCTTTCCCATTCGCAGAAAAATCAGTAAAAAGTGTGTGTATTGGTGCTCAGCATATTATGCAGAATCAAACCCAATGGAAACAACAAAATCTCCATTTTACAGTATACTAATATGATTCAACATTGGATCAATTCTGGAAACAATGGATTCAAACGAGTTAAGGTCAACGATCTGTTTAGTATCAAAAGTTATTTACAACTATGAGGAGAGAATTTGGGGATTTTCTCTCGTTATGATTCTTGTCAAGCAAAATATCAACTAAATTGTCCTCTGTGTATTTAGATGAAAGAATACTGGTACTCGTTGGTACTTCGTCGGCCAAGTCTACTTGGGTGAATTCTTCCAATAAATCCATACAATCGTGAAGCAATCGGTATTAAATAGACTATTGAGCATATATAAATACTATATGAACCAAAGTCTAAGTTTTAATGACTCTTCTTATGGCTCAGAGAGTTTCATAGTGTCACGATAAAAGATCTTGATGAGCTAAAGAACTCATAATAGACGGACATTCGAGTGTGGTTCAAGGAACCCATTTCATTCTATTAGCACTGTCCAATCGAGTTCGTATTCAACTTGAGAATGCAAAATGAAACTACTCCTATTTATATCACCTACCTGGTATATATCTTTTTCTATGGCACAATTTGTCTTTGACTCGCAAATCAACAATCTGTCTAAAGTGAATTCTTAGATCACCTTTTTGAATAGAGTTGTCCTGCTACTATTCCTCAAATACTGGAATCAGTCAATTTCACAAGCCCAAGTGCAATTATTTGTCAGTTGATAAATAAATATGCTAGTATAACACAAAGCAATCAT